AAATAAAACATTTGGAAGATCAAATTAGAACTAAAAGAAGGGATTACTTAGTAAGCTGATGAGCAATCCCTAAAGAGTTAAGGATGTAATATACCACCTCACTATCAACATATTTCTATAATCTTCACAAGCTCTAAAATCATGACTTTAGAAGTTTAACAATATATCTAGCCATTTGTTTCACATAATTCAGTGTCAACACAGGCAAGAAAGACTACTAAGGATGGGAGGTAAGAAGAAAGAGAAAAAGAAATACATCTATATATCAAATGTATATCATATATCAAATGTATATCAATGTTTTTAAAATGTAAACAAATTTCAAATTCCATGAAAATTCTACATTACAAAGAATCAGTATTCTAGACTTACAACTTCTTGTTTTATCCTTTTCTGAAAGAGAAAATACAAAATATTAGATTTTTTTCTTTTGGAGTGAGAAATAATCATGTTATACGTCATTCAGATTTACATCAAAACTGAGAATATTTACATAGCAAATAGCCAAAAACTTGATTTGACCTGGAAAAAACAATTCAAGTCATAATGCTTATTTTGAATTCCATTTCAGTAAATTTTGCTGTATAACAATATAAAGGAGAATGAAAGTTACCAGCATATTTTTGTGATTTGGCATTCCATTCAGGGCAACAATAACACCCTCTTTTCCTAGATCCCTTAACTTTTTTGCATACTTCTTTTTTAACCGCTTCACCTTCTTGTCCTTCTCTTCTTGAGTGAGAACTCTATTCATCTAGGGAGAGAAAAAAAATATAAAATGGCAATGAAAAACATGAAAGTACTTTCAACAACACTCAATTCATTCAAGAGACAACTGTACACTCATATACACTCTCTAAGACACATTTCTGATTAATTCAAGTAACAAAAATGTATTAATTACAGAAATTATTTAGTCATACCCAGACACTATTGGGAAGTAGTAACCATACAAATAATATCTATCAAATTCAGAATAAAAAGATTAGCAGAGAAGAAAGTGTTTTTTTTCAGTATTTGAGAGCAAACATAATGGATAACTATGAGATTTGAAGACAACATGGCCCAAAACAATGTGACAAATGAATATCTAAAACAACATTTCAAGTAATTAACTTTTTTGAGATATAAATACACAACCAATATAATTACTCACTAAAATGCACTAAAAAATTAAAAAAACAAACAAACCTTTTGAATTGCAGCCTCTCTTCGCTTTGCTTTTGGACAATTGTGGCTGTTATATATTTGTTTTGGAAACATCTTCTCACTTACTCTTTCTTTAGGTACATACTCACCTGTACAGAGAAAAAGTAGACATTAGTAACTAATGTGATGGAATTCTACAAAAAAAATCAACCATAAAAAAGGAAGAAAGGAAGGAAAGAAGGAAGGAAGGAAGGAAGGAAGGAGGGAAAAAAAAAGTGAAGCAGTGAGTTCGTATTTCAAAGATATTCTCTTATGGCATATTGATTTACAGACTCTACAATTTACTGTTCAAATCTATTGAACTGTATACCAGATTCTGAAAAGTGAAGCACTTGAAAGATTCTAGTTTTCACTCATAAATGTGGATCTGGCAAGAACATGTTCAAACATGGCAAAGTGTCAAAGTGCCAAGACAGTTCCAGGAACCTTAACCCCTATGATCTGGATGATGTAACCATTACATCAAGAAAAATTTGGCTTGTGGGGCAGGTGACTTGAACAAGCTGTCATGGAATAATCTGGCAATGGACTGGGACAAAGCAACTTGCGGTTGTGAGCATTTCAGCTGAAAGCCGGGGTGATAGGAAAGACTCTCCATGAGTGAGGTGATTAGGCTCATTTGGCATTTAAGAGTTACAGACTACCTAGAGAGATTATCTGGTGTCTGTGCAAGGAAAACAATCTACTACAATCTGCATAAAGTAAATCAAATGACAAGTATAGAAATTGGAAAATAGCATAAAAACTAAAAATACTTAAGCAGAAAAAGAGAAAATAACATTGCAAAGGAGAGGTATGGTGTCTCGTCACTGCACACGAGGGTTCGTTTGTGCCCAGCCTACAAGCTGCACTCCTGTCTGAGTGTCCACTCACGTAAGCCTAATGCCCATATTTTGGGTCAGGTGATGGCAGTAATGCATCCAGATCCAATGGGTTAATGGGCTATTACACAATGGCAAACATTCCTCTGTACATTCTATAATTTGTGTTCAGCATGTATCACTTAATCCCAACCACATGAGCACACATGCTTCAGTCTGTACACATATTTGTAACCCACAGGGCTGCTGCTCACTTCACAAGCACAAATTATCAAGGTGGTAATTACTTGGTCTTCTTAATCTCAATAGTTTACCCCATTACTTCAATTTTGGGGAAAATTTGATTTCTGTTGCTATTATTAATTTAACAAAACATTGAAATGATCAATAGTCACATAACTAGCAATAAAACAGTAGTCTTAATAATACTAGTAAAAATGAAAACCTTTCTTTCCAAAATTTCAAGAGATGGGGTATATATAGATGAACACAGGAAGGGCTAGTAATTGCCTCCTTGGTGACTAAGCACTCCAGGTGCCATGAATGTGTACACAAAATCAAATAAACAAAATTGAGGTGGAAAGTACACATATGCATACTCTTCTGGTCTCAACTGGTTAACATAAAAGATAGTAACAATAATGATGCACAAACATATCAAGCAAATTTCATATATATTTTCCACCTACTCTATATCATATATATTTTTCACCTATTCTGTTATTTGGATTTAAGAAATCAGTTAAATAGACAAAACTTGAACTCACTACACTATGTATTATAAGAGATCACTGAATACTTACATTTTAAAATCTTTCCTTTAACCAAATAACCATTCATTGTACTTGCTGCAATTTTTGCAACATCTGGGACATGGAACTCCAGATAGCCATAACCACACACTGTACCAGTCTAGTAATTGAGAAATTAGATACATTAGCAGGGATGAAAAAGGGAAAATAACTGAATGAATGTATGTGCATACAAAGAAGTGAACACATACCACAATAACTATTTACAGTCTTGAAATATTATAATATTTTCATAAAACTTATCATTATTATTTTTTACTTCTATCAAAACACAACAAATGATAAAAACAAAAACTTACACTTTCACTCCGTGGTACAGACACCCTTGACAGTTTTCCGAACTGTGAGAAGAATGCCTTCAGTTCCCTATCATAAAATCCATGTGGGAGGTGAGATATGAAGACAACTCCCGACTCGGTTTCCTGAAAGAATGAATAAGAAAGGCTCAGCATGATTGTCATGTTCCTTAAAAAGAAAAATGAAAATCTGTAATGAAATAAATCACTCATAAATACAGATTTTGAAAAAAAAAATAAATAAATAAAAAATAAATAAATAATAAAATAAAATAAATAAATAAATAAATAAATAAATAAAAATAAATAAATAAATAATAAGAAAAAATAAAATAAAATAAATAAATAAATAAATAAAAATAAATAAATAAATAATAAGAAAAAATAATTAAATAAAATCTAAATGTGATACTTATGTTACTTTTTTAATGCAAGCATTCCAATTTTACTTGTCACTGAAAATATACAAAAATATTTAAACAACACCTGGCAAGTAAATATTTAAACAACACCTCTTACTAACATATTTTTTTTAATGAATGATTTGAGTATGGAATTCCATTCAAACTGACACTTCCTGACACCTACTAGTCCATTATTACTCTTTGGATGTGAGAATAATCATACCACAGCAACTAAAACATCAAAAATCATTTTCTTTGACATTTGGGACATTCTTATAAGAATAATGAGTTGAAACAAGTTATCCTCCCTCCAACCATTTCCTTCACTAATAATAATAAGACTCGTAATAGTATTAGGTCTACAAAAATATCTTTACACTCACCTTCTTCTCCACTACTTTGGGACCTTTTTTCACCTTAGGCTTCTTCTTCTTCATAAATTTAGGCTTTGGTTTGGTACCATTTATGACCTTCATCTTGTATGAATAAACTCACTCTTCTTCACCTGCCAAGAAAAAGAATAAGAAAGAAAATTATAAGAACTTCAACATTTTTAATAAATCATATATTTTTTCGTTTCCATGCAAGTGTTGCTTTAACCTCAAGACTGTAAGGATAATGAGGTCTGGAATCATTTTCTTTAAACAGACTAATGAAAATCACATCTTTTTATTCTTGCTTACAGGAATGCCCCAATCTCATGATGCATTTTAACCCATTCGCCACATATGGCAAGAGTAGATGCCATACTCACTTTGATACATGTTTATTTATTGTATTTACACATAGATGGCTCCACAAGTTTTTAATCACCAAATAGCCAGTTATCAAGAACTACCTATTTCACCTGTTTACCCTTTTCCTTCACTTTAGGAAAGGGTTTATTTTGTATCATTTCATTGTCAAAAATATTCTAATGACAATTTAATAATCATAACATCAATAACAATAATAACAGTATCAAAAGCAATGGTATTAGTTTTCCCGCCAGTTCAATGAATGGGAAAATCAGGGTCGGTAACTAGGGTCTACTGATAGACTCCTTGCCGGCTGAGCACATGTGGAGCCATCTGTATGTAACAAATTCACCAAAAACTACAGGGGACTGAACATAAATCCGTGGCGAATGGGTTAAAATGCTAAAAAAAAAAAAAAAAAAAAAAAAAAAAAGATGTGAGGAGCTCTCTAACTCCCAAAAATAAGCCCTGATTTTTAACATTTGTTAAAAACTGATGGTGGCAGTTTAAAACAATAATTTTATGTTTTGAAAAGAATGCAAATAAATGTTTATTCTGTATATATCCCTTTCTAAAAAACATCACATCTTGAAGCATAAATTTTCAGCCTCAGTACAATATATGCAGCACCAGAGTAACAGAAATGATACTGCTCCTGACAACAGGGGAGGGTGTTTACCAGGCTGCCCAAAACTAAAAATAAATGTCAAACATACTGAATAAAAATAGCAGATATAGGTAATATTGATAAAAATCAAAGGCAACCAGTACCAATTTAAACATGAAAAATGTGTGCAAGCCCCAGAACATTAGGATATGCATAATATTGAGATTGTAGGACATATCTATAATTACTGGAACCTGCCCCATACAATTGCTGAAGTGAATTAAGAATCATGATGTAATCTTGTGTTAGGGAAGATGCAGGATACAGTAGTTCTGCAAGCAAGGTGGGAAAATTAACATATTTGAACATTAAGTGATGACAGATACCTAATGTCAGGTCTAATAGTGTCAATGAGAACTGTAGTATTTAATTGTGTGACAATAAAAGCTGAATCTTGGGGATGGTAACTGAAATTCATATTTGATTCATCACAAAGTGTCAAGAAACCATTTTGATTTCCTACGAAATATGACAGAAATAAATACACAAAATTGAGCAGCATGACATGCAGCAGCAGCACATGGACTGCCCAGCCTTCGCTGACAGGGAGCCTCTCTGGCTCCCCTTTTGATCTCCGCTCCACCTACTCCACCCAGCCATACAGTGGGCACTCTCACCCACTGCAAACATTCCATAATGAGATAAGACACCAAGACAAATGGTAGATGAAACCCATCTAGGTTGGGGTGATTCCCTACAATGGACCCCAGTCCCTGTCTCCTAAGCCTCCGCCCCCCCCCCCCCAAGACAACAGCAAGCAAGAGATTAACCCCTTGCCGCCGGGTGACGGCGATACACGTGTAAACAAATCGCTTGAAAGGTGGCGTACGGCCAAACCAGCCGGCGGCGCGCCAAAGCGCGGCGAGCCAGTGATTCGGGCTGACGCCCCGTACTCCGGCGCTCAAAGTCGGCGCGCTGCCTTTGTTTGCCAGAGCGTAGAGTTTTATTTTCCTTTTGTACACCCGGCGTCATTGGGTTAATGGCAATTGAGGGTGCACAGAGATGGCTTTACAAAAGCCCTAGGCTTAACCTCAGGTGGGCTGATTGGATGATTGGTTGCCACTGCTGTTAATTGTTAATGGTTAGAAGAAATAAATGTGCAAGACATCAAAGGTCATATAGCACTATGGTAAAGTATTGTGGTGAAAAGGGTGGAAATGAGTTAATGATCGGGATAAAATGTTAGATATCAAAAGTTGTAGAACACTGTAGGATAGAAAGGTAGTGAAAAGGGTATAGATGGGGAATAAATGGAATATGGTGGAGATTTGTAAAAGGAGAAGGGGTTAAAAGTATAGGGTGATCAGATCAAAATGGAGAGTATTCATCTGAGGAAGGGAGAGTAATACTGTATGAGGAAAACTGCAAAAGAGCTATTATGAAACAATCAAAAGGTAATACGGGTAGAAATGGTAGTTGTAGAGGTTGGAGAAGAATCCAGAGAATGAGATAAGGGAACAGGGGAAAGTTGTGAAGTATTGGGAAGAATGTCAGGAGGGGAAGGATCTAGAGTAGGACATTGTTGTGACATGATGGAGTCACGTGAGCATCCAGGTGGGAGTGGTAAGGATAATACGGAAGTAAGAGTAAATGGCGACGCACACGGAGGAGGAGAGGATGGAGTGCTTTTTGGAAGAGTGGGAGGAAGAGGCTTAGGGGGAACTTGAGGAGGAAGGTTATCGGCAAATACTTTGAAGAGCGAATAGGAATAGGGGGTGGGTCATGTTTAGGAAGTTTTGTATTTCTTCAAGAATTTCTGGAGGAGAGTTGGGTAGGGAGGTCTGAGAAACAAAGGTTTACTTATGTGGAGGAGAAAGATGTAGTAGGAGAAGATGGGGTGAAACATTTAGATTGCTGGTGTGACAGATAAGATGAGGAAGAGGAGTGGTAAGGACAGAGGAAATAGTAGAAACTGAAGTATCTGGAATTAGACAGGAAGAGAAATTTAACTGAGCGAGTGAGGGAATAAAGACAGGATGGTTCGGGGTAGAGGGAAACAATACTGGGGGAGATGCTGAGACTCCTTGAGAAGTTGGGAGAGGAGCAGAGCAAAGTACAGTTTTGGAATAGGTAGAGAGAGAAAAAACTTATCAGGCCGCATCGATGGTGACCATCTTCAGGGAGTAGCAATAGCCATCTCCAGCAGACTTCAGCCCTTAGTAGTAAAGGCTACTCTGGTGAGAATATAATGGTATTGAGACTAAAAGCTTACATTTAGCTTCATGTGTGTTTCAGGGCTCCTAGCACCTGGTTCGATTTATTGATTTAAACCTGTACATTTTGTGAGGGTGAGTTTGTGGTATATGATGCCTCCCAGATCCTTCTCTTCATCCACCTGCTGTAGAGAGTGTATGATCACTTGTGGTTGCTTGCATTTGGATTTGTTTCAATGCTGTGTATACTCCTACTGATATTTGTAAAATTGACATGAATGAGATGTTTTATACCAAACTCACATCTGTGACAAACAGTAATCCTCTACGAGATAGACAAATTGTTCTAAGTAAGGGATTCTTGTAAACACAATTAATAAACTAAGAGCACAGTGGACATG